TTTCCAAAACTAATTTTACACGCTTTAATCTAAAAACTAATACCAATTCAGATTACCTAGCAATAAAATTAGCCGGTGAAGATATACAAATTGTTGAGAACACTAAATTTCTAGGATTATACATAGACAGTAAATTAAGCTGGAATGATCATATTGATCATGTGGCAAATCGAATGTCAACAGGCCTATTTGCACTTTATCGATTATCAAAATTTTGTAAACTTGAATCCCTAAAATTGGTTTATTTTGCTCATATTCACTCACATTTATCCTTTGGTATAAGTATTTATGGAGGAACATCACAAGCTAATTTAGACAGAATTTTAATTCTCCAGAAAAGAGCAATACGCATTATGTTAAATTTGGATTGGCAAGATTCTGTTAGGGAAAAATTTGAAGAACTAGGCATAATGACTGTATATTATATCTATCTAGCTATTATAGCTATTATTGTAGCTATTATATCTATCAATGTATATTATATACTGTCAAAAATTCAAATAATGTCTCACTGGTAGGGGATTCTCATCAATATTGTACCAGAAACAGAAATAACTATGCAACACCTTCACATAGATTAAGATTTTTTGAAAAAAAAACCAATGTATGTGGGTATAAAATGTTACAATGCTCTTCCAACAAAACTAAAGGACTACACAAGGACTACAAAATTTAAAAATAATCTAAAAATGCACTTTTTAACCAATCCCCTGTATTCAAAGAACAAATTTTTCCTCTTACATAATATATTAGAATAAGAACTTTTTCAATAGTGTTTATATCTTTTGTACTTTTTTAGGATTAAGCATTATGATTTTGATCCAATGTAATGACGCCATTCGTGCACATGTTTGCAAAGTATGAATAAAGTTTATTTCATTTCATTTCATGCAAGGCGGAGCCCTTTGGAAATCAGCCTGTTGGGCAGAGCCCTTATAGGGAGTTCGTCCATATCAATACTTTTCAGCAAATCTAAGCTTCATTTTGATATGACATATGCCTATATTTCTATTTGGTAAATGGCCTTAACTGTTTACATACAATTTGATTGTATCACTTTAATAATATAATAGATGATTAAAAATTCAACTGAACAAATGTTATGTGCCCCTTGTAACAACAAACCTAAGAATTCATTGAGCCAATTTACTTGGAACAAAATTTCTGTACATTAAAATTTCTGTTTGAATAAATAGTCTAGGAAAAATTAATAAATTTGTTTAGGCTGAAGGTTTGCTGTGGCAAGGGTATTGCAATCTACTGGTGTATACCCAACCTAGTAAGAAATAGGCCAAATTGCTATAAATAAACTACAAGGTTTTTATGGCTTGCCCTTTACAACCAGTCTATTTTAAACTTGTTAAAGCACATTACACAAATAGCCTTTTGAAACACAAGAGGTGAATGAATGAACATTAACAGGTGGTTGAACATTTGAGTAACCGGGTAGAGCCGGTGCCATGGCAACCTTCCACACAGGGGGGAATGAGTTGCCGAAAGATTAGGTCTCAAGAACAAGTCTTGAGTACAATGTACAGTAGAGGCATTTTTATTTTTGTGTTGTCCGATTGAGTGTTTAAATGGATATTTTTAAACCTAAAATGTCCAAAAAATGGTCCAAAATATGGTCCAAAATATCAAACAATCTACCACAGACTTTGAATGGCATTGAATTGTTCAGTGAAACAGCTGATCCTATCAGAAAATAATATCATCAGCTGTAGAATATTTCAGATCAACAATTTTTCATCACTCTTTTCACTCTGTATTCTAAAATAGCCCAGTTCCATACAACTGAGATCTTCAAAAATCTTCAATTTCCATACACCAAAAACAAATAGTGATCAGCTGACTTTTCCTGACACAAACATTACTTTCCCCACATAAACATTACTTTCGCTACACAAACAATACTTTTCCTACAGTTACCTAACAATGTACATGTTCTCTCACTGATTTGAGAAAGCAAAGTGGCCAATTCACTCATCAGTGAGACAAACATTGTCTCACTCTAATTACTTTGTCTCACTCCAGATTTGCAGCGTGAAGGCACGAAATAGTCTTGTAGTAACATGCAGTCAACGTCGTATGCGCGCGAAATACGTTGGCAGCACTGGCTGTAAATCAGCTGGTCAGCTGTTGTACTGTTGTATTTGTCACTTCACATTAAATGTTATATTAAAAGTTCACTTCTGTGTAAAAATAGGTTATGTTTCTTCACCAATTTATTTGTTTTATGGTAACTGTAGGAAAAGTATAATGTGCAACTCGAGTTCAAAGTACAATTGCCTCACTCGAGAAACCATTCCTCACTCGCCTACGGCTCGTGAGTAAGGATTTCTCTCGAGTGAGTCAATTGCTCACTTTTCTCACTAGTTGCACAAATAACTATTGCCTGACATCAACAAGTTACAATCAGCTGAATTTGACACTAAAATGAAATGTACAGCTGTATTGTGTTTGGATTAGAAAAATGAATGGATTAAGAAATATCTCGTCGTCGACTCGCATGTAAAACACTATCTCGCCCCGAAATGGGTCACTTGTGACTGGTAGTGAAATATACTATTACAATTTTGAAAAATCTGTGAACACTGGTTTTCTGAATTAGGTGTTTAGAAAACTGTTAAAACTCTGCTACCGAAATTTTCTCTGTAACCATTAGATATACAACACAGCTTCAATATACAGTAGACTCCCTCTTATCCGGGCACCTTTTAACCGGACATCGGATTAACCGGACTACACTCGGCAGAAATGACATCTCTTTAACTGGACAATCAGTACTGAAACGACTGTTCTCGTGGGAAAGATTTGAAACCAGTGATCACCTATTTTTACCCCATAAATTACCGTTCCCATAGTCCGGTCATGATATTTTTCAAACTATTTGAATAAATGTAGGTTTACACATTTGTACTAAATTTAATCAAAATTGGATAATTTTACTCAAGTTATCGTACTAACTGACACAATATATATATAACTTAAATGAATTTGAAAAAAATATGGTGTTTTTGACCTCTGGGGACATTAAAAGTCTAAACAAAAAAGTAAAATGGGCTCGGTTCTAGGTCTTACCATTAGACCTACGATAAAAGCTTATTCTTATGGGAAATTTGCCAAAATACTTAACGATTGAAACAGCTATATATAATACGTGAAGCCGTTTTTTGTTAACGCAACTCCTCCCTTATTTGTAGACCAAATTTAACGTTTAAGGTGTCAAAAGATTCGTCTCAATATGTAGTTGTGCAATAAGGTTTTAGAATCTTAAAATTCCTACTCTTAAGGGCATGAGACCCTCTCAAAGGTTGGGGTTTCCCCATAAGAAATACATAGAACAAATTTAAAAACAAAACAGCTGTTTATAAAAAGAAACTCATTTTAGCTTTTTGGGAGTAAATATTGATGTTTGTAATTTTCAGTAGGTTAAGACCAAGATAAACAGTTAATCAGTTTTTTTGGAAGAACAGAAAATGCCTCAAGTTCAAAGAAGAAATATTGAAAACGGGAGGATAAGACAATTAATAATAAGCTATCTTATTTATGCGTTCGTATGAGGGGAGTAGAAAAAGAGAGGTCTGGTCTAACAGACACCCATCCAGATTCACATTTACTTGGTGAGAAGAATAATATTTGTCAGTTCTGCTATGCAACTTAATTTGGAAGTGAAAAAATATACGAAGCACATAGTGTTGTCACGGTGGTAATGTAAACTTGCCTAATGGCAGATCAAATGAATGCATGCAAGAAATGTTTACTTCTGACACTGACAGGTCAAGATAGTACAAACTATGTTAATGCCTTGAATATGATGAGTTCAAGTAGTAAGATTATACCAAATCTTGGCGGACCGTACGTTTTTATTGTAAACTTTTGTATTACTCGCTCTATGTCAATTGAGAAAAAACGCAAATGGATTGTTTACTTCTAGGTTATGTTGCCAGTTCCTCAGACAAACTTATACAAAGTTTGACTGCATCCACCAACATAATCCAGACATTTCAAGTCAAAAATAAGAAGTTTCAAAAACTCATTTGCTATTGAAAGTTGTAGTAGCAATATAAGTGACCAAACATAAGTGAAGGAATTAGTGTTTATGTATTCAACGATCGAGTAGTTACGGTCAAGATCATTTTTATGATTTAGGAGAGGCAAATAATATACGCTGTAAAAAAATGAAAATTTCGATCCAAATCTTATAGCTACAAGAGTTATCCAACCTATTTTGACAAATGAATCCATACTTTCAAAACTTTGGGACAGGTATTAAGAGAAACTCCACTGAACAACATGATAACGTTCTGATGCGGGTTATATACTGTGACTGACAGACAACACGTTAAAATACATTAACCAACTTTCAATGGTGTTGCTGCTTTAGCCTATTCAAAGCAGATTATGGCTGTCCAGTTGGTAGCCCAGAGTTTGTGGGTAAAACATGGAGCACATGAAATGGTTGATATCACCCCACTATTCAGGATTCTCTACGGATAAAACCGTTCGATTAGGGGAATGTCGCAAATCAAAGAAATAAAATGACCCAGCTTAAATTACTTAACACAGCTTATCAGTAAGGTAACAGTTTTCTTCAATTCTCAAAGCTGTAAAAACTTTGTTGCAACATGTAACTCGAAGAGAGGCATTCATTAGAATTTATAAGTTAAAACTGAGAGCAGAAATAACGTAGGTGAGCCTTGACGACGCAAATAGAGATATTTAAAATTAGTTCCTAACAAGTGTTTAAACAACTCTAAGATGTAACTAGAATTACTCGAATTTAAGCATAACGTTTTCCTCGACGTTATGTTTTATACTACGCGGCTCATTGAGCCGCACGGGTTCTCTAGTAGTTCTTTAAAAGGTGATAAAAAAGCAAAGCAGTATATAAAACATTCACAGACCAGTTGATCTTTTAGAGGAACTGAATCTTTTGAATCGATTCCTCTCCATGGATCACTTGGACTTGTGTTCAGTGTATCTCTATCACATCTGCAGAGATGGTTCAAGAGCGACTCGTTTTATTTTGAGTGACTCACATGTTAGGAAACAATGTAAGTACAATTAAAGTTTAACAGCTTTTCTTCCCATACTGTATGTTTTTATTTTATTTTTTTATTTTTATAAATAACTAGCTGAATTGTAAGATTGTTAAGAGAAAATATAAGAGTGTAAATTTATTTTTTCTTGGAAAATGTCATTTGTTCTAACACACAACATTGAATATAAGTAAATGGTCACTTAGTTAAGGTGATTTGACCAAATAAAATTGAAGACGTATTAAATTTAGAGAATTCTGATGTAAAAATTTTTGGAGCAATCAATAATTTACGAATAGTTATTTTATTTTTCAAAATTTGTTGTTTCTTCTTGTGAATTGTTTTTTTAATGTTTTTTATTATACTTCCGACTTAAAAAAAACCTATTTTAAAATTCAAATAAATGTTACACACAAGTTTTAAAACCATTGAATTGGAACACTAACATGATTTAACTTTTCATCCCCTTTGTAAAATGTGAAGCAAGTTTTGATATGTTTTAACTTCAAAGTGTTTATGCCTTAGCATTTTTATTTACTGAGTTTCTCCTAAGTTAGAAGACACATTTTACAATCTAGGCTTCCCTCGTTGGTTAAAATAAATAACATAGGACAAACCATACTAGCACATAGTTATTGTAATAGTGTTGTAAAGTAAACACATAAATTCAAGCAATAAATAAATGAACGTCAAAGCACTTAGTTGCCACCGGGTATAAACATACCTTAATATTTCTTTAGCTAGTCTATGAGTATAATAAATGCTATGATAGTATAAAAAATCTATGGTTTTACAAGGCGGCCATGAGGCTGTTGTGAGCCTCTAATAGTGGTGTTTGGACCAGTGAACGTCAAAGGAGCTTAAGTAAGGGGATTGGAGCAGAACTGAATGCATTTTACATCACTTGATTTTACATCACAAAGTGTAAAATGGACAACTTTCAGCCGTTGCCCTTAAAAGTTTTTGATTTGCAGCTCATGAAACATTTATGACACTCTATGACTTTAAAATGTGGGGTGGTGGACTTAAATGTCATTTAAATGTCTGGAATAGCTTTAGGAGCAAATAAAACTAAGGAGCACATTTGAGTTTATATACTCGTATAAACAATAAGACTGAAAGTAATAATATTTTTTTCTGAAACCAGTTTAACACTTTGTACAATTAATTGGCTGAATTATTCCACACCTTAGGGTTCATTTCTCATTGATCTAAGCCCTTCAAAAAGTGGATTCTATGAAAATTACTATCCGTGATAAAAGTCTCCATCAGTCAAATAAAGTATATTAAAATAATAATTGAATTGTTTACCGGTATTGGTAAACTTATTTTAGTTTGTTACACAATAATAACCAATATTTAAGTGAGATGAGAAGCTGAGGATGAAACTATTATGTTGTTCCAAACCCGTCTTGTAAGTTACAAGTTACAAGTTGTAACTACCTTACATAAATCTTTTGTTAGAAATCATAATTAATTGTTAGTCCAATAAAAATTACATCTGGGTGTAGGCTTAAATTCCCTTGGGGTAATATTCCAATTTATCTACAGTGTACCACTTTGCTAACAAGAAAATTAAGTTTGTAATTAAGAACGATCAATACAGTTAAAGCTACAAAAATTATGTCTAAATTCTCATGAGTGCACACAAGACCTGGCCAAGATAAGGATATTGATCTATAGTCCTCGCCACCCTAACTTGAGGCAGCCCAAGGTCGGCATGTGGCGAGGACTATAGAGGGCTGTCTAATGGCCACCGCTTGGGCTAACTGTCTATCAAACCCAACATGACCAAACATAGACAACATAGTAGTTCTAAATTTGACTCCCAGGATACTCCACATATGCTCCACATGTGGAATAACTTTCAGCAGTTTCTATTTACTATAACCGCACAGTTGTAACAAAAAGTTATTAGATCAAGTAACTGATGTTCTACTTCCAGATGTTTCGGAGTTAAAGAAGATGGATAATGACACGGAGGCCGTTGCTGTGGCCTTACCACTCTTTCGGTATCCCACGGCTGTGACGGTGAGCTTGAACAATGAACTTCATTGTTCAAATACGGTACCCATATTTGATGATATTGGTGTAATGGAGGAAAATATGTAGATTTACTTGAACACATTTTGTACTGTATTATTGTGCTGGGTTCTCTTCCCGTCCAAACATATGTTTATAGTTATGTACCAAACCTTTTGATCTTTAGATTGTGTTATGGCAACTAGTTTCAACTCAACACTGGAGTCATCTTCAGGCCACTACAGATGTCTTATCTCTTCATTCGAAGGTCGCCAATATCAGTGAAAAATATAACATGTACACACACGAACATTTTGTGATAAAAAAAGAGATAATACTGTTGGTAAGCACACTACGTGATCGGGCAGGAGTTGTGTCTAGAACAACTTTCAGCAGTTGTGAGTCTATATATTTGTCATTGTGTAAAAAATAAGCCTCCCCCCCCAAAAGAAAAAAATGGTGGTTGATGAGTGATTAATGTTCATTGAGCAGCAACAGATCAGAGAGCTAGTTCAAATATTAGAGTGTAGTTCGTTCCCTGACTTAAAACTTTAAAAATTAACATAAAAATAGTTTCTTGTTGTAACCACGAATTACTCTTTCCAGGTGCTGCTGTGTGTGGCGTACGTAAGTGTGTTCATCATTGGCGTCGTTGGCAACACATGTGTCGTAATGGTTGTCTATCGTAGTCCCAAGATGAGGTCGTCTACCAACCTCTTCATCGCCAACCTCGCCTGCGCCGATCTCTTGGTGAACATTATATGTTTGCCTTTCACACTAACAAGCAATATCATGTCAGGTATGAAAATCATGAATCCTGGTAAAGAATAAGATTCAGATGTTTCTCTTTTTTGTTGTAAATTAATTATTCATGTTCCTGTATTAGTCTTTTTGCCTTAAGTTCAACTTTGTCCATTTTAAAATTCATGATGTAGCCCCTGAACTGTTTATTTAGACTAATATGAGTTACATACCTTTACGTCAACAGTTCAATTGTAGTAAGTAGAACTCACAACATGTTTCGTCTATTCAGGCATCGTCAGGTGGTATCCTAGCAAGAATGCTTTGTCTTCATCCATGATGGAGTCGTCAAGAAACATTTAAATAAATACACACACATTACGCACGAAAACATTTAACAAATAGAGTAGGCCTACTGTTACCGGTCGCGGTACGGAGGCAGACATTTTTTACCTATAATTTTCCATTTTACCTACTACCAAAATTTGGTTTACAAAATAGTCCAAGTGGGACATAAGAAAACTTATATGGACTGGGGAAACAGAAAGCAGCCATAGGTTTGTGGATGCTGGAAGCCAAGACTTAATGAAATATGTATTGTAGATCGAAACATTGACTTACATTAAAACTGTTGGACAAAGCAAAGTTTGGTTGCCTCCATTGTTGAAGGTTGATTTTGCTGAATAGGATGAATTTGGTTCTAAATTTTGAGTGTGTACCCATCAAGCAAACAAATGTTATGTCTTGTATAGAAATCAAGATGGATTTATGCTTGAAATTTCATTGTGTCAGGTAATTAATCTAGGTTTGAAAAGTGCAAAGGAAAATAGCCAGATAATGTTAGTAATCAATTAATTTATAATATTTTAGAGGTGGCTAACCCAGCATAAACACCTCTTATTGGATATGACTGCAAAGAATATTGTAATTACTTTTCTTACTCCCATTACCATTTTAATACCAAAGAAGATATTTGCCTCACCAACTAACAGTCTCCATTTCATCCAATCCCCTGCATATTATTCATCAGCTAACAATGATCTAATGTGTCTATTTGATTTATCTTTTACTTCTTCTTGAGGTATCCGCTTTCAGGGAGTTTTCTTCCATATTTGTTTTATCATAGATCTACCCTCATGATTACATTTCCAGCCCAGAAAAGTTTTTTTCTAGTACTCGGAACAGATTCCTTAGTCCCCTATTATGTTTAATCCTCTATTAACCTTTTTTTCTTTTGACCAACCAAAAAAAAAAAAAAAAAACACAATTAAAGTGAATATATGATATAGGTAGTATTCTGTCAATACTAAAAGTCGAGTAAGAGTTTGATGCAGTACCAACGTCTTTCTTCAAGCTCCAACTCCTCTGTTAACATTATAATTTAGACTTAATTATTTTACAAAACATATAGATTTCTTTATACACTCTGGTATGTTTTATATTTACCAGAGCCATTTATATCCACCGTATTGTTCACAGCCTGGACCATGGGCTGGTTAATTTGCAAGATCATCCCCTACCTTCAAGGAGTGTCTGTCAACGCCTCTATTAATACTCTTGTAGCAATATCCGTGGAGCGTTGCTTCGCTATCTGCTACCCGCTCAAGTGGCAGATCTCCTCTCGAGTTAGCAAGCGAGCGATCCTAGCGATATGGCTGCTGTCACTCACCATTACTCTGCCTTGGGCTGTCTTCTTCAAGCTGCAACCACTGTATGAAGGCAGTGAAGAGCAGGTCAGGATGAAAATCATTTAGGGAGGTTAATTTAGGAAAGACCTGAAATATTCATGTGGGTGGCTGAGTGGTTATAGTGCTCGCTTAGTAGTCATAAGGTTGCTGATTTGATCCTGTAAATCCAGTAGCTTTTTGGTTGCTTTCAACTGAACCTAGTTTTATCCTTGATCTAGCTCTTATTAAATGGTCCTGGCTGAAGAAACAGCTGATCTTAGACAGTGAAATTCTATACTTATTATTTTTCCTCATATTAAGCTCAAAACCAAGGTCCCACTAGAAAAACAGGACGTGCTGCAGGATCCATGACATCACACTTGTAGATAGATTCACTGCCATATCCCATGTGTTTTAGGTAAATAAGCTGGTTGTTTGTCAGATTTTAGTTCATCTATCCACCACTGTGACACAGTGTTGTGCTGCCCGTGCTGCAGCATGGCCTGTTTTTCTAGTGGGGCCTATTGTTATTGTTAAAACACACAACATTGTGTTTCTACCTTGTTTGTTTCTTGAGCCGGGTTCAGATAGCCAGAGTGTTTAAAGAGGCCTTATAATCACCTCGCTGTATCATATGATTCATTCTACAATTTTTCACTCCTCTTTGCCTTAAAATACACAGTCCTGGTGTGTCAAAAGAATTTAAAATGTAATCTAATCACATGTTGGAGGTGTTGAAACGATTCCTCCTCAAGACAGCCATTCAATTCAAGCAACTGAATATTTGGTTGGTTAAGGTAATCTGCTTAATGAGTGAAAATTTAAAAACGTACGTTTTCATGTCCCTGGCCTTTTACTTCGTAGATACTGGATTTGTAGTTTATTATTATGTGTTTTTATATTTTTTGGGATGGGGGCAACATGTTACACACATTTATTTAGTTTTAAATAGGTTCTAGGTATTTTTTTCGTATTTTTAAAGTCTCAAAATTCACGACCATGACGTGTCCCTAGGGTACATTTTCCAACATTCACACCGTTTTTATACTAATTATTCATGCCGAAATATATAAAGCCATATTTTTATGTCATCAATGGTTATTAAACCTACAGAAAAGGAGCATATGATAATTTTGTTTTCATTATAAACTGACTGCCATGACTAAATAGGTCTGTCCCTCGATTTGACGTCACGACCATTTGGGAAAAATTTTCAACTTTGGAGCACGATAGTGGCAAGCCTGGCGTTGATGGAGTCAGTTGGTTTTAGAGACTAGTTCGGGATGTACGTCAGGATTGTAGTGCCAGTCGTTTCGAGTTGAAAGGAGGAATTACAAGATTAATAAAGGAAAGATTGTGTTTTTTGTAATTTTGGTGTGTCCATGACCGTACGTAGTCATTCGATGAAGTAGACATTGTGTTAATTTTTGTTTATAAGATATTTCAATTGCTAGATTAACCTAGAAGTCCACTTTGTATCCACGAACATGAGGTGCAGGGCTACCACCAGAACAGATCCAAATAACACGTAATTTCACGACCAAAGTTCCCGACCATCGCAGGTTTTTTCACGACCAATCCAGCCTTATGGATTATAGTGTGTATGGTCGTGACAATAACTTTAATATAATTGTAAATTGAACAGTTAAGTTCAATTGAAACACATATTTTTATTATAACTAACAGTATAATTGAAGGATTGTTTAGAAAGATTTAGATTATTTCAGACAATTCACGACCGTACCGCTTGTCCCTGACCATCACAATTATGATTTCTATCATAAAAATTTCAAAAATTAAAATATCGTCATATTTCAATGTTTTAAACACAAGAGAAGCACACCTATATACAAACATAACGATTTTTCGGGTCTCAGGTAAGTTTTTTCGGAGTTATACAAACTTAAAAAGATTTTCTTGGCTTTTTTTCAATTTTTTGAGTTTTTTTTATTTTTTTCTAGAAAGACCAAATATACCAAAAGCTCAGTGACCTTTTTATTGTATAATGGTCATAAAAGTAAATTAGTTTATAGCAAAACATAGTTATAAAAATAATATTAACTATTTTTAATATTTATTTAAACGTCCGTTATGGTCGTGACAGGATTTTGTGTTTTTCCACTAAAGATGCTCTTTTAAAAAAAAAAACTACCAAAGATATTGCGTTACCATGGACATTTTATGAAACTTCAAATGTTAATGAAATAAAAAAACTAATAAAAGTTTTGAAAAAAGGGGAAAAAATTTTGCAAAGTGCTTTTCCTGAAAATGTACGTTTTTAAATTTTTACTCTAATACCCACTGGGTCCGTACCCTCCGAACCAAAAGACGTGGGCGTAACAGTGGATGACTCATCGGTATGGAACGTCAGGATGTCCTAGAAATCTTTTTCCAAACTTCTTTTCGGATGGCAGAAAGTTTGTATGGTCCTGTCCCAACCGTGACGGCCTAGTGCTCGCACACATAGGAAAATCAATGCTAAATATTTTTGGAAAATTCCGTACCTACTGTCCATTAGTGCCGTCCTGACCCAGTGCGTGCTTAGCTTTAAAGAGAATTTCTATGATGAATCTGCAAAACTTTGTTTACTAACGTTTTTACATTTGCAAATTGATGACATACAGTAGACTCCCTCTTATCCGGACTCCTCGGGACCAAGGCCAGTCCGGATAATGGGTTTTCCAGTTAAACCGACGTCCCCGAAAACTTGTTAAAACAGTTTAGTATCCTCCAGGTATCTTCTGGCGATCAATGTTTGTTATCGTCTATTCTAACTATCTTAATTTACCATATATTTCAGGCCTGTCTAGAAGTGTGGCCGACTAACTACAGTGGTAATGTCTACTTCATCATAGCCAATCTGCTCATGTGCTACCTGCTACCACTAACCATCATCACAGCATGCTACTTGCTCATCTGGCGCAAAGTCTTCCTACGCCGGCCTCCAGGAGAGTTACGCCAGGCAACGGACAAGATCATACAGAAGTCAAAGGTCAAAGTGGTCAAGATGTTGATGACGGTCATCATTCTGTTCGCTTTCTCCTGGCTTCCGCTGTACCTCATCTTTACGAGAATAAAACTTGGAGGGCCATTGACTTCTTCCGAGGAAGGAATTGTGTTTATGATTCTTCCCTTTGCTCAGTGGTTGGGTGCTTCAAATTCTTGTATCAACCCAATCCTTTATGCGTATTTCAATAGGAAGTTCAGGGTGGGGTTTAGAGCGATTATTTACAGTAGATCATGCTGTACGCCGCTGTACTATGATCCTTCCGGAAGTGACATGAGAACTGTCAGTAGTAAGCAGAATCTATATTTGGGTGTGAACCAAAAGGATTATGTGATTAAACAGTTCCAGAACAGGAAGACAAAATCGTGTGCCGTTTTGTTCAGCCAGAATTTGAACTGTAGCAGTAATAGTTTGAATAAAATAAAGCCAGTGGTCTTTCCAAAACTTTCGCTAGGATTCCGGTCGGTTAGTGTTGATAATATCTTTGATAAACCTACCAGAGCTAAGTGCAAAGATATTTTTTTGTAGATAATTGTTGTGTTGACAATTATAATTTATTTGATTAGATGTTCTATTAATAATAGTCTCGGAAATTGATACCGTTGTAAAAATGTGATCTGAATGTGCTGTAGATATAGCAGTTCAAATTAATTTGAATATTATGTAAATATTAAAAAATATTTGCAAAATCAATTTTTTGTACAGTAACTTTATGTATTTTACAAAGTACTGATCATAGATTTAGAGAGTTCTTTAATCTAACAAATAATTAATTCAGATTTTAAACTTTTAAAAAGGTACTAGCTATTTAATAGCGCTTTGAAATAATAAACGCTTCTTATAAAAATATTTTAGAATTTTTTGGACCTGGCCTAATTTTTTTGTGTTTTCTACAAAATTTCCCGACTTAAAGCTGTTACCAGTAAACATTATTTCTTGCATGTATTTATTTGATCTGACTTTAGGTGGGTTTACTTTACCACTGTGACAACATGATGTGTATATTCCTCATGGTTTTTTTTACTTCCAAAATAAGTTGCTTGGCATAACTGGCAAAAATGATTCATCGCCCCAAGTGATTGTGTACCTGGATTCCTTACTGTGAGACCAGGCCACTCCTCTACTCTTCTCATACGTATAAGATTTCCTATTAATTGTCTCCTCCTCCTGTTTTCAATATTTCTCCTTTAAACGGCTGCACTTTACTTGACGTCCTACACTCATTCGAATGAAAATATCGATCGATATATCAATTAATTGATTGCTTCATTCGATATATCGTTAGGTTAGTTAGGTAAGGTTAACCTAACCTAACTAACCAAACGATATATCGAATGAAACAATCGAATGAAAATATCGAATCGGAAAACAATCGAATGAGTGTAGGACGTCAAGTAAAGTGCAGCCCTTTAAACTCAAGGAATATTCTGTTCTTCCAACAAAACTGATTGACTGTTAAGATTTGTCTATAACCTCATAAATATTACAAACATCAATATTAACTCCCAAAAAGCTGGTGAGTTTCTTTTTATATACAGCTGTTTTTGTTTTTAAATTTGTTTTCAATGTAATTCTTATGGGGGAAAATGCGACCTTTGAGAGCGTCTCATGCCCTTAAGGGTAAGAGTTTTTAAATTCTGAAACCTTTATGCAAAACTACGAATTGAGACAAATTATTTGACACCTCAAACGTTAAAATCGGTCCAGAAATAACGGAGGAGTTTTGTTCACAAAAAACAGCCCTCACTTATTAATATAAGAGAAGAAGATGGTAAGCTATATGGTAACCAACAAATAAATTTTAAGAAAATGTTAATGTTTAACACCTGTTTTATTAGTAAATAAACAGTTCTTTAAGATATTATTATTATTTAAAAGTTAGGTTATAAATTATGTTAGTTGCATAATAACAATTTTCTCAAAGTGTAAATGACACTATTTATTAGAAGAATATTAGAAGAATAAAATTATGAAAATTTAAGTGATTTAGAAGTGCTCTTGATAAAAATGATTTTTTATTGAACAAATTATTGAATTATGTATGACAGAGCTCCAAGGTTCAGTAAACATATCAATACAACTCCTGAAAATGTTGGACCTGCTACTTACATATTGTCTGATATTTTTGATCAAAGCACCAACTGTCAGTGTGGGGCTGGTAAGTGCAGTGTAAAATATTACAAAAGTTCAGAATCAAGCTATTTAGGTAGAACTTGTTCAAGCAATATGTAAGGATGCAAGTTATTTCTAGTCTCCAGAAAATTCATGTTTGATAAAGTTTCTTTTGTCTATAAAAACTTTTTCTCTTTACATTTGCATTATTTTGTCTTGGATCATATTTCTTACTCTACGATTCTATACAAAATATATATGTACTGGGAAAGGTTGTTTTGAGGGATTTTATATTTACTATATCATACATGTAAAATGAAAGCTGCTTAGACATACAGCTAACCCAACTGATACACAACATAAAGGTTTGTAGGTTGTTTTACTTAGGTATTTTAGACTTGTTGGTTCAGCCATTTAAAGTGAAAATTTTAATTTAAGACAATGTATCGTAAATGTAAAAACTTTTCACAGGAGGACAGACTCCATTTAATTCATCCAGTTTGAGAACAATTTCGTTTACAAATAAAAGCCTCATTGGAAACCCAAGTCCAAACAAATATAAAATATGTTTTCGAAGGCATCGGATAGTTGTAAGTACACCTAAAAATCCTAAAATGTAGGAATAAAGGTATGTGGACGTTTTATTCACCTTGTAAAGTACTTGTATACAGTAAGAGGGTCCACTGCCTACATAAATTATCGTAGTATATTGAGAGGGTTGATGTTACCAGTAGACTAAGCTTGCCTAAGGATAAACATCTTGGTAAGGTTTGGAAAGGTTAAACGTTCGGCTCAGTGTCTGATGTTTAGCACTACAGTTCCACAACTGATTTAGAAGCTGTCCCATTTATTCCCTGGAGACACAAAAAATCAAATCACTGCAAAACGCACTTCAAAATCCACTAATAAGGGTGCATATACCACCAACTGCTCTCATTGAAACATAAATAACATGTTTCTGCAGATAAATGTATCCCAGAAGGTTTATGTGTAGAACATGTATCCCAGGATGTTTATGTGGTAGAAAATGTATTTGTAATCAATGTTTTTATTTTACGGTTCCAATATAAATGAGTCATTCCAATATAAATTTCCCAATCTTATTTGGGAATAATATGAAAGGGAAGAAATATACCCTTCCTTCAATACCCTGTTTGTACACATTTTTGGGATGAATCATTCCATTTAAAACTTTTAATTAAATGGTAAACAACATCAAGCTATTAATTTCATAACGTTCATATAAAAAAAAAAAATAAAAACTATCTGTAAGTAAGAAATATTATAAAAAACACAAAAAAGCCCCTTAGCTATTGTATAAAAAAACAGGCATGTCATGTCGTACTACTCATATTATTCACAGCTCTACAGTAGATTACAATGCATAAATTCCTGCTAGGGTGGAACCACTATACAAAACAGAGCACCGAGGTTCTCTTACAGAGAAAAAGATTACGTCGCTGGACCAGATTTGACAAGAAAGGCAAAGAAGCTGCATGGACGTGTAAGTATTTGCATTTTTTGTTAAAAACTTTAGGTGAAATTGTTGATGCTATATTGGATACATTGGCTAGTTTTGTATCAGTGTTGACAAAACTCAAATTTATGAATAAACTTGAATTCTAAATTTTAAACTTTAAGCAGAAAATGTTTTGAATAATGCTTTATAACTACAGCGTGATGCATAAAAGGTTTCCACAAATCTTTATATTAAGTCAATTATTTAAACAAAGCTGTTTTATTGGGTTAAAAATGTATTGGTACTGAATTTTTGAAATTTTAAACATTAACAAATAATACTAAAAACATGTATACTCGTTAAGGTGTCTACAGGAGGGACAAGTTTGATTTTAAATTGTTTAAACAGATTTATCAATAACCATGTTGAAATCTGAAGACCAACACAATATTGCGTTTTTGATTAGATACCTTGATTTTCCACATTTCGATTTTTCAGTACTTAATAATTAATCCTTCAATCACTACACTGAGACAGCAACATACTTTATGAAGGTACTTTGTTTAAATAAAGGCACATGCGGCATTCTGAGTCACAGAATATTTGACTGGTGGCCAACTACTTTGTGTTGATATATTATTTATCGATTTCTGAACAGATATGACCATACATTCCTCGCTTCAAAACAGTCTTTTTGTTGCTGTAATTGTTGGACAAGACCAACACGGAGTGGGACAAAACAAGCACTGACATTTGCGGAATGACGAGTAGACGAACATCTGTCCACACACTAGTATCTAGTCATGACTTAACAAGTATAGCTGCTTGGCCCCCGGTGATGCATGTGTGGACCCGCTTTAAGCTGTATATATATAAGCTGTATGCAGGGGGGGTGGATAATGTGATGAGTTTACTAAGAACAGCTGTTCCTCTAGCCAAAAACATTTATTAGTTCAATGATCAAACACAGTTGGGTCCATTTTGAATTTTGTATCCATGCACTCAGCTAGTTACCTTATACCTTGACTCATACTTCCTCATGTCAGATTCAACGAGGCGTTCCTCCTCGCAACAGCTCAACTAGAGTGACGACCATCCCTGAGAAAGGAGCTGAAGGATATCTGGACACTGAGGACGGACTGGTCAAGATATACAACCCTCCGGAGAATAAACCTGTTGGTCCAACAACTTACTACAATCCAAAGGTATAACAAGATTTTAGTGGTGCGTAACTTAAGATAAGTAAAGGTTCTTCCACTGTTCTTCATCCAACTTTCAAGCAAACAAATTTTACAAGCATACCAATCACAGCATACTGTTAACTTATATGAAATCTCTGAAATCTCGGTCTTTCGCTTGTTAAGTCGGTAAAACTATTTTGACATTTTAGAAATTTTACCCATTCTATGAGGCATCCTCAAAACACCACCAAAACATCAAAACATCTTATTTTGTAAATAGTGTGAATAGGGTACCAACTTTACGGGCTTTCCCTGGAAGACCAATAGTTTAGTGGTGACAACTGTTGCTTAAGCCTACGATTAAAGAATACTGATATATACTTTGCCACACCAAATTTTAAACTACAAACATACTTAGTTTTCTGTGTACATGTGTGGTGGTGGACTTAAATACGAATTTTGATCACTTCTGTGATTACAGTTAACACAATTTTATGGTTATTTAACCATCTATCGAACTATTTTTAGAGAATATCCAGAAATGTTCAATCTTCTTAACGTCCAATAAAAAATTTACCACATTTTAAAAATGATACCTACTTATTTGTCCTACCGTACTTCAAAGTAGACATAAATTTTAAATATATGCTACCAGTACTCTAAAACTGAAATACACGGTACCTACTTAAAGTTTTCTCTCACGAAAAAGTTTATTTTCAAACACAAAATAATTCATCTTCCAGGGACACGACAACTTCACAACTTTGCAGTACAAAGGTAATTTCTGGTCTCATAAGACAGCAACAAGGTTTAAATACAAAATATCTGATGGGCCTAGTCCAGCAGACTATTCTATCAATGAAAAGCATGAATCTCCATGGAAGAAATGCCAAGAGCAGCTACGGAGTAGGAATCAAGCCAACGCACCTTCGCTTAGACATGATGATGTTATTCTTCGAAAACTTTGCAGAGAGGTAGGCGATTAATCAATTGTTTGAACATTGTGTACTTTCATAACTTCTGAAATGTATGATCAATACTTATTTTAGCTGATATAGTGTTTAAAATAATACTATGTAATTTAACGAACATACAATCACGCCATGGGTCGGGGACAGTACAAATGACGAAGCCATCTGGTGGAAAAAAAAACCCTCACAAGTAAAAGTACTCAGCAGATGATGACACAATGTGTCGAAACATGTTCTGAATGAAACTCACCATCCAGTATTGAGCTATTTGACGTAAGTAATTTATTCTTACAATAAATATCTACAGCTCAGGGGCTTAACAATGAATTTAAATATAGTATACCTTCTGATGAGTGAATTGTGTAACAAGTACCTTAACATAACTTTACCTACTTTGCCAACTTGGAAAACCTCATCTCAATTATTGAGATGAGAGAATTACATTTTTGACTGTTTCTATTTGTTAAAGAATCTGCCAGGGCCTGGGGCTTACTCTCAAAATGACTCACATTTGAAAAAGTGTGAATGTGGAGTTGGGGGAACATTCTCTAAAGCAAAGGTAGGTTTAGGGTGAGAATATGTATAAATAAATTATCAATTAAGAACTAAGATGGGATATACTTTAGTGTAGATTTGTTACTGACGATGACCACTGTTTCTAGAGCGTACTTATTAAAAGACATAAAGAACATCTTGGTCCATTTTTAACCATCAAAAAGCACTTCATTTTTTAGGATCCAAATGGCAAACCAGAACCACCCATTTACTTAGCTATTAGATTACCTTTGTTGTTGTAGCCTGCAGTTGTTGGGTAGGTAAGATGTTTGTGCCATCCTATGCATTTCGCCAGCTTGCGTGACATCTTCAGAGGTCTTCTTATCACTAACAGTCTATACTGTATTTAAAAAATATATTTACATACAATCGGTAACTAGTATCACGGTTAAGTCTATCAGACAACGTGAAGAAGGACACGTCAATAGGTCTTTCTTCCTCCGTTTCATTTCTTGGTCGGGGGGTGGGGGTATTTGGGCTGTGTGACGGTTGCTCGATCAACACAATCACACCACTGCGTGTCCGTAGTCACATTATCCGAACTACTGCACTTATAAATACTGGATATTTTTTTAACAGTATAGGCACACAAGCTGGCGAAATGCATAGGATGACACAAACATCTTACCTATTCAAGAACTGCAGACTACAACAACAAAGGTAATCTAAGTAATTTAATTCATGTTCTTGAAACTGGGACTTGAAATAAAATATAGTTAGATAGTATTCCAATCTAATCTAATATCCCTCCCCTAAAAGCCATTCAATAAGATTAAATAATACCCCCGCCGCAGCAAACCTGCCGACTAAGCGAATTTCCATTTGTCTGAATTGATTTTCAGTTAAATATATTTTAATAACATTAGGTTTAACGAGTACCTAGGTTTGCTGCTACAAGGAAACTAATAAAGTGTGTTTTTGAGTAAAATATTGATAGCTTAGTACAAAATAAATAAATTTGCCAAGTTTGATCAAAATATATCCATAAACAAGCAAACTACAACATTTGACAATATTCTCCATAAGAATAACATGGGAATTTTAAATTTACAATTTTTTAAATTTTCTCCGTTACTAATAACCGAACAAAAATACTTTTATATACTAAATTATTTGTTTTTTTAAGCTCTTCAAAAAGGTCTAAAGAGAAATTGGGAAATTTTGTGTTTTGAGGGTCAAAAGTGAGAAAAACCAATTTTTACCCCATAAAACCCCCCGTAAAGCCCCGTTCCCATGGTCCGATCATGCTGGTTCGCGAACTCATTCAAGTTTATCTCCCTTTACACATTTAAACCAAATTTCATCAAAATCGGACCAAAATTACTCAAGTTATCGCGTTCACGGACGTATATATATATATATAAATCTATATATATATATATATATATATATACATATATAAAAATTTGAACGAATGGTGTTTTTGGCCTCTGGGGACATCAAAATGAAAAAGTAAATCGGTCCCGGGTCTAGGTCTTACCGTGCCACCTACGGTACCCTAATAGCTACTTCCCTATAGGGAAATTCGCTAAAAATGAAAATGACAGAGTTACCATAAACCCCCTTCAACAGTTACGGTATGTTTATCTCATACCAAACAACATTGTGAAATTCCAGCGAGGGAGCTTACACCGTACTGACGATGACGGGCCGGGACCAGCAGCCTACTGTGATTCTAGGTCCTCCATAGAGAGAGCTCTCCCTGCAGTGTCTCCTTTCAACACCACAGCACACCGCTTTGCTCCATCGCGCCAAGGCCCACTTCCAGGTGAGGATTGGATAAAATCCACTCTTAAAGAACTGAAAATGTCTACTATGAGATTGAACTTAGATAACATTTAAACCAACAGTAATAGCTTTTAGAATTGCTCGATCTTAGATATTTTTAATCAAAAGCTTAAATAAAGTTGGACATGAATCTTACAACAAACAAACACAAAATGAAATTGGTGTATAAATGTATTGGTGTATTACTGCAGATATAAAATTGTATGGTAACAAAATTTAGTTTTTATACCAATATCTATGTTTGATTGTGGATTATTATTTCAATTGGAATCTATGTTATTAAAATAGTTTGTTGAATTTTCGTATTCAGCAAATCGACCCCTAGGTATTTATTTTTATATGCATATTGGGTATCAATTTAAAGCTCGTATCCTCTAGATGTGCCTTTTGCGGGTTTGGATGATATCTCGTGAAAACCCTTCGTACTATGGGCTTTTAAAATTTCAGAGTTTGTGCTGAATTCTGTTGTCAATCATCTGAACTTTTTCAAGTTTACATTTGCTTACATCAAAACAGATGGCCATGATACAATTTTGTTTAAATTCATACGAAAATGGGGTTCTCCAAGGCCCCACAAGAAAAACAGTTTTAGAATTCGAGAAAAAATATTGTAATGTTACTTTTATGAAATGAAAAATAGAAAATAACTTACGTTAGATCTTGTGTTTTGATAGGATTTGCAATAGAAAATTGTAAATTATTAAATATATATCACGGATTTTGAAGTCACAAAGTGACGCATGAAAATGAACATGATTGATAATTATATGTAAGACAGTAGTCATACCTTCAACCCCAGACACAGAAATAACATGAAATTAACTAACAACTTGAAATTAGCTTATCTATCCAATTGATGAAACAGCTGAACTTGTGAAACAATAAAGCTACTTAAAGTGACAATAAAGCTACACATCCTACCCATCTCACATCATCATCAGTCATTTTCTATCAGACATCTATATCAGTTATCTTAGAACATACAGGGAGACTGACGGTTTTGATCTAGGCAGTACTGAGAGTGTGGTGGTGGGATGGGAGGTGGTTGTCGTGGGCATAGTTCTGCTCTAAAAAAGACACAATTTCATTAATTCAGTCACAATGGAACAGTGGGACCTGCAACGTCGATTGTTTGGCTATGGCATTTTCATGAGAAGTTGTGAGTCTATTACAGCTACACAGTGATTGTTTCATGCTCGGTTTAATGTAGGTCGACATTGAGCTGTTCCGAGCCGTAACACACAATCCTCAGATGGGTGAAAAACATCAGATTGACTGGAAACATACTGGATAAGATGCATCCTGGCCACAAACACTTTGTAACGACACCAGAAAATGTTGAAAGGGTAAGGGAAGAAGCAGTCAGACAGAAGCCCAGGACGGTCAGTTAGACATCATGCTAGTGAGCTACAAATTAATCGTGAATTGGTTAGACTAATTTTGAATCCAGTATGTTTCCAGTCAATCTGAAGTTTGTCACCAATCTGAGGATTGTTGTTTTAGGGCTCGGAACAGCTCAATGTCGATCTACACTATACCGTGCAAGAAACAATTGCTGTCTAGCTGTAAATGGCCTTACCACTTCTTATGAAACTGCTATAGTCAAACAATTGACGTTGCAAGTCCCACTGTTCCATTTCCATAGTGACTGAGTTAATGAAATGGTGTCTTGTGTAGAGTAGAGCTATGCCTTTTCATGACCACCTCCCACGGCCGCACTCTCAAATGGTACTGCACAGATGAAAACCGTCCGTCTCCCGAGTGCCACTCTGTATATTTGCAGAATAGAACATTATTGATGTTGACAACATCCATTACATTTTAAAATTACGTATGACTTTTCTGTTGTGTAAGATGTTTTGAAATACAGAGAATCATCAACCGATTGTCCAACTGTGCAATTCATCCTCAAAGTGAACCTAAGCCAGAATTAACAAATAAAATGTTATTTACACACAGAGATAACAGCAAAATACATACGTTTTAGCTTAAGTTGTTTGTTGTTTCATTGCTCAAGATCCTTACGAGTAGTTGGTTTGATTTTTAACCAGTGATTATTTGAAATCATTGCAGACTGGAGTTTATAATTTTTCATCACTCCGTAACGAAAGTAACTATTTTCGATAACAGCTGACATCAATGAAAGTAGTCGATTCTCAAGCTTTAATTTAGGGCGAGGGAAAATCGATCAGCTGATTTTCCCTCGCTCTAAATTTACTTTCTCTTGCTCTCAATTAGTTCTACATTTATTATCTACGCGCGCTAGTGTTTTCTTACGGTTTAATTTAATGATTTGAATCAGCTGTATGTATTGTTTAAAGTTGTTTTATTCTTTTTTTTCATGTTTAAACAAAATTTATTGACAAATATACGTAGGTTTCCTTTTAGAAGATTTAATTTTATTTTGATGTTCAATCAAATTAATTGAGAAATAAAATAGTTGTAATATTACTGAGGTCTGCTATAACTGTGTTAGTGTGTTTTTGCGTCGTGATGAAAATTATCGTTCATAACTCGTACCGAAAGTTATCATCCGGCACTTGCTCCATTATTCCCATCCTCGGCTACGCCTCGTACGTGAAAATAGCTCTCACATACTCGGCTTCGCCTTGCACGTGAAATTGGGGTTCCCTGTGTTCGGCTTCGCCTCACACAAAAACTTGAGCGCGCGACGGAAAATGTCACTTTCGGTCCTAGATACACCCAATTTCACCTTCGAGTTTTATCAGGTTATTCTGTGTCACTTAATTGTTACTTCATGAATTTATCTCAATTTATCATATGACTTTTTATGGTAGGAGAAAATTTTTTCGTTTAATAAGTTTGACTTAAAGGTGGGCCTCAATCGTCAGGCCACGGTGTTATCAAGTAAATTTTCATCATGGTGAATGGGCAAATACAACCTAACATTCAGGATAGAAGTCTACTAGACCATTCCTGCACAATCCACATTGATTATGAATAAAACTCTTCTTGATCAATCACTTTGTTTTATTGTAGGACCAGCTGATTACACCCCAAAATTTGGACTGTGGAATGAAGTGAAGAAGAGGGAAAACTCCAGATATTCCCAGTTTTCAGCTCCTTTTGACAGTAGCTCAAGTAGGAACACTGGAACTATAAAACCTGATGTTTTGTGTATCCCAGGACCAGACTTGTACTACCCGAAGGTACGTTGTAATCAGTACTGTGAGCTTTTTAACCATAGTCTGTTCACAAAATTTAGGCGGTTTGAGGGGAAGTTCCCCACTACTTTTTTCCTTGATGTTGCAGATGCTGACTGACGTTTTGGCAAACATCAGCTGTTGAGCTGTTGTTTTAGTAGCTGTTTTTTATATGTAGGATCAAGTGGAGGGAATAGATTTCTTTCCCTAAAACCGCCTAAATTTAGTGAACGGAATGTGTGAAATAGACAAACCTATTTAGCCCTAGTATTAGTGTTTTTCGTTTTCAATGAAAATAAGCATTCTGATTCTGATATTTAATCCTCTGTACTTGGTTGGCCAGGTTACTGGCGACATTGTTGTCATGAACAGCGTGAGCCAGTTTGCATGTGATGCGCTAAGGGCCCGAGGGATGATTGCCCCTCTTTCCACCTACCTTGTGGGGGAATTTTTATTTTCCTTGCTTACCCAACCAATTTAAACCCTCTTACGCTCCTGGGCCCGAACCCAACTTAAAACGGCCTTGAGAATTCTTTCAACATCAGCTCACCACTCACACAGTTATGGTCACTTTTATCTTTATATCATGACAGCTTTCCCCCTCAGCTCAGAACTATTTTAGTTTAAAAGCTGCTCCCAAGGTATCATCACTACATAAGAACTAATATACATTTTGTAAAAAAAAGAATGTGTAATATGATGAAAAGTGATGTCTTCCAGCTAAAGATGCTGGTCTCCTAAGTGTTTGATTATTTCCATGCTGGCCATTTCCACTGTCCTCTGAGTGGTAAGGATAATAACTTAACTGTATGTAATCTCAATAATGTAAGTTCAAATCCACTATTATTTTAAGCAGCTTTATTTACTTAACTAATATTATAAGCAATGTGAATAACTTAAAGTTTATTTGAGTAAAAATTCAGTTCCAGCAAAAGGGAGACAAAAACCAAAGCTCTATGTTTGCCTCAGGGGTAGAAAGAGGTCTCAGCATTGTAAATCAGGTAAATATCTTAAGGTTTTATTGAGTCAAATAATAACTGTGATTTGTTATCCTTCCTTTCTTATTGGATCAACTTAGCTATCACAAAAGTGTAAGTTTAGATAAATTAATAGCCAAACTCTCTGCAAAACCTATACAACTAAAGTTTAAATTCAGAAAGTTTTTACTTAAAACCAGATTCAACCTAAATCCCCAGTAGTTTTTACCAACAATAAATTTCTCGTTTCCTATTTAAATATCAGCCCTTTGTATTGATAACTTTATACTTTACCTTAGTTTCCCCTAAGAAGAGGAGGGTCTTCCGTTTGAAGGACCTCCCACTCCATCATATGAGCTCAAAATATTAAACACTAAAAGTAATGTTTCTTGTCGACAGAATTTGCCAGGACCAAATACATATTCTGTGAGTGAATCCATTAAGCTGCTGTCTTCCCACACGAGCCATTTGCAACAGAAATGCTCAGCATTTTTGACTTCGAGTGAGAGAATAAAACCACTGAGAAGATCCTATAGCCCAGGTTGGTAAACTTATCATCATTAAACGTCAATGTGTTTGGTATTCGGGAAACTAAATTAAGTAGGTAGGCCTACTAAAGTAGTATGCTTAAAAACAAATTTTGGATTTAAAACATAATTTTTCCCACAGTTATCTGACAAAGTGGCCTTCCTTGCACTGATTATAGCACAGAAAGTTGCTAATTGCTGCATCTACTTATTTTAGTCGCACACTTTTTACTTTTTTGTACAGTTTTTTTCCGTACACCAGTATTCCAACCAAACAACACAAAACAGCTTTTATTAGGCACGTAATACGTGTACGCTTGAAAATAAGTTGGCAACACTTAAAGATATTACGACTACGATCAGCTGGTGCAGCGTTTACCATTTCGTTCAATGTTTGGATATAACCTGGAGACCTAAAAACGTGTTGTACAGTGTTCGAAAGACTAATTATTTATATGTTTTATAGTAACTGTAGGAAAAATATAAGGTGTAACGCGAGTGCAAACTGCCTTTGCTGCACTCGAGAAACTTTGCACACCACTCACATACGGCTCGTGTGCACATCCAAACATTTCTCTTGTGTGCAGCTAAGTGCCACTTCGACCACTAGTTACACAATGTGGCTATTTTTGTGTAATTGTTTTGAATTTTTTCTGAATAAAATCTGATTTTACAAAACAGTAAAATCGGATCGTTTTAAGAAGAGGCAATTTATCTAAATACAGCTAAATAGCATGTCTTCCTTAGTTTTGCATTACACATTTTTACCTTGAGCAATAAACATTTTTCAAAATTTTGTTATTTCAGGTCCAGACACTTATGACACAACTCAATCGTCTTTGAATTCAAAATCTGGAGTTATTGGAATGAAATTAAGAAGCAAAACTGTTGAAATTACTCCGGGACCTGCTCAATACAGGGTATGAAATTAACTATTCCAAAGTTAAACAAATTATGAAAAAGGACATTTTTGGTATCTCTAGCTAACTACGATTGTTTTTGCCACAGCCTTAGTATTAATTGTTTATAGACTAGCTTATTCTTCATGAAGGTTTACTGTACTAAAGTGAAAATACGATATGTGTCCTGATATTTAGAACATTTGTAATGGCTGCTAACTTGTCTTGTCCTGGTTCACTCCTTCTCATAGGAAAATGTCCTGTTCCTCTCCTCTTCATTCTGTTGGTTGCTTCTCTCTTCTCTCTTTATTCAATCCCAAGCTTTGCCTTTCTCCTTCAGCTCTTGATACGGAAGAAATCATCATTGTGTAGGAGCAGTGTCAAATTTACCGCAAGTCTGACTTGGCTGCCACCTTGGACTGCAAACAAAAGGGACCGCAGCGTTTTGTATATAATTTTTCTTTTAAAAAAAGGTAATCTGTCATGATTACAGGTGAAGATAATTATCTTCCTGTGATCATGTGAAGTATTCATGATTTTGCAGTGACCACGGGTAATGAGAAAGTTTTGTTTAAAAGCACAGAGCCGCTAGGGTTGATTTGGACTTGGGCCGAAAGTACATAAATCAGACACTGTGTGAGAGGTACTTTCTTGTGTCCCCCTTTTTCCCTTTGTATGCACCGGTTTGTCCTGCGCTGCTGATGCCTTCCTTTCCTCCTTTTTCTTCCTGGCTTCTTCAGGTTCCATGCCCTGTTCTAAGAAGCGTAGGTACCAGCGGGTTCCTGCCCCGCTCTGCACTACTCTACGGGGATTGTCCTATCCACCAGGTTCTTCTGGTTTCGGGTAGTTCTTCAAAGATCATGACATTTTACCTCCCTTCCCATGACTTGCAGTACTAGCCTGCGTTCCCACGAGCTTCTCGCTACGGATCTGAATTCGGCCTGGACAGAGCCCCGCATGCCCAGGGAAAGGCTGCTTACTGCAGGAGGGTGCCTGATATCCTTCAGGTACCGTTCAGACACCATACAAAAGAGGCCTGGTAGCATCCACCCGGCACCCCTCAGCAGTCCACCTAATATCTTGGGCTGGCCTTGAGGGTGTGGGTACTAATTAAGTCACCAAGGAGAGAATCCTTGAAGTGAAACTGGGAAGATTGGTCTGAGATGCCATCAGTTGAGGTCTTGGTCTTCCTAGAACATGTAGGTTGTTATAATCTGAAGAAATATTGAAGATAGTAGGTTGTTGGCCACTTGTAGCTCTCGTCTGAAGATGGTACTACTATATTGTTTGGTTTCCCTTACCACTTTCTGTGAAGGCATTCCTCTCTAGCTTTTGACACTTCAACTTAATTCTGCAAGAAGTGGCTAATTTTGGTCCATCCCTAGGTATTTTTATTGTCAGACACCCTATGGTGAGTTGAGTTTTTTTTAGATTTGTTTCTTCTTACCACACTTGAAGACCTGCAATACTACTGCAATAATCACATCACATTATTGTTTCAGATCCATCCCAAATATGCAACTTCTAGAGTATTGGATACCAGCAATGTGTCATTAAAACACGCGCCCAAGGGAAGAAAAAACAAAAAGAAGCCTAAGAGAGGGAAAAATGATCAGTTGTTGTAATGCAATTGAGGTGTTTTCCATCTTCTCCATTTCCAACTTCCAACTAGACTTTGCTCTCTGGATTGTCTTTAGGTTGTTACCAATAAAATTGACATTGTTTCAATATCTGTGAGGATTATGTTTAATCTATGGATTTACCTAGAAGAAAGCAAATACATATTATTCCTACGCACAGGCACCTGCCATGTAGGCCTATCCCATAAGTACGGCAAATTTCAACTTAATGTTGTATACTGTACTCTCTGTTTGGTTCAAATTTTTTATCTACATTGGGGTAAATAAACGTTTTTAATTTAATTTAATTTCTCTTCTACAAACATGTAAACAGCATATAAACTCCTTCAGTTTACGTTTCAATATTCCAACACTGTTATGTACTGCAGAAATCGGCTTACATTTTGCAGGCGCTCACAAAAGTCACACTATAAAATTTTTATCTTGTGCTTAAAGTTTTATTGATAGATTATAAATATGTTATACCAACAATAATTTATTTTCTGGTTATGAAGTGCTCATTCCCAAACTTAAAGAAAAAAATTAAAGACTAGAGTATTCATAAACTTGTTCAACAACTCCAATATAGAAAATAAGCTATTACCTTAGGTATTATGGTAAAACCAGGACCCGGGACTGATTTACTTTTTCATTTTATTTTTCCAGAGGCGAAAAATATAAGGGGTTATTGTTAATTTTTGTTATTTCCAAAAGAGATGTGTTGTGAAATATAAGTTTTCGTACTGTTGTGGCTTTCACCAATTAAGTTTTAATCATTCCAATTGATTTCAAGATAAATTTTACAGACCCACAAACAAACGCACAACCAGACATAGCTCGTATGAGAGTATAAGATTAATGGACTCATGTAAATAAATATTGCCCATTAAATCACAGGTTGGTTACATTATGCGTCTATAGATTAAAGCGCGGGACTTCTGTCCATACTTTCAAATCCTGCCATCACCACAAACAATTAATCGTTTTTTAGCCACAGGATAATCCAAAAGACTGTGGATATTATGAGACCTGGTGGTTCGGAACCCATCTTACGCTCTATGTGCTTCATAATGAAAATAATACAATTTTCAGACAAGAAGTGGAATTTTCTCTCTACTAGAAAAGGGGGGCCACCAGTAGACCGACAAGATACTTGGTCGTCTGGCCACTAGACAGTCTTTTTTAATTAAATAGATAAATACTGAAAACCAGTACGTCGACAAGTCATTTCGTCGTCAGTCCAGTTGACCGACCTGTAAAACTAAATTATTATATGCGAGAAACAAACTGTTCGTCAATCGACCCGGCCGACATACAACTTGCTCGTCTTTTAGGTGGGGATGTGTTGAGCGGCAGTGCCAGCAGCGCGCGCAGCTGTGGAGGGCGCTGCAGAGATAGTTATTTGTGTAACTAGTGGTGAAAGTGGCACTCGAGTGCAGCAAAGGCCTTTTTCACTCGTGTTACACATTATATTTTTCCTACAGTCACTATAAAGCATATAAATAATTAGTCTTTCAAACACTATACAACACGTTTTTAGGTTCAGCTGGCAACACAAATGGTGGCCTCCCTATAGAAAGTAGTACCCGCGGTCCGTATCACTCCGCTATTTTTCCTCGGCAAGAAATGTGCTCCGCGTTTTGAGAATATAGTTCCGTATGTTTTTGTAATTTGAAGTGGTTTCCGCTCCTAAAAAAATGCTTTAAAGGTATTTTCTTGTTTATTAAGATCGTAGGAATGTTTTGAAAACGTTTTAAGGAAAAGTCCAGAAAGTTCAGAAATACCGAAACTATAAACACGAAATGACAGGTTAAATCGTAGTTATAATAGTCAATCAGCTGCTCATAGTATTATCATCTTTAAGTGTTGCCAACCTTATTTCCAAGCGTACACGGATTACGTGCATAATAGAACCACGCTGTTTTGTGTTGTTTCGTTGGAATCCTGATGTGCGGCAAAGTATAAACCGTACGGCAAAGTATAAATATGCAGCAATTAGCAGCTTTCTGTACTATAAACAGTACAAGGAAGCCAACTTTGTCGGGTGACTGTAGGAAAAATCTATTTACCATGGGCCATGTCATAATTAGATTGTTATGTGGTGGATAACCTACAACCTAAGTAAGCATTGACGCAAGAAACCTTACTCAAAAATAGGACTTCATGATTTTACATCATCTGACACATTACTCTGAAGGACAACCCCTAATAAAAAGCATGTTTCCTTTTCAACAGCCAAAACGTATAATTTCCTTGTTACACGTACACAATATTTTATCATCCTGACATCAAGGTAGGTGTTGCAGATTATACGATAAACAGCTGGATACAACGCTAAAAAAACAGCTGATGATCTGTAACTTAGCTTGCGTGTTGAGAATCCGGTTATCCAACCTACGACATTATTGTCTATGCTACAACCTACAGTACACTATAGTTCGTGAGTTCCGGGAATTTGAATTTTCACAGTTTAAAACTATCGACAGTGACCTTTAACCCTTGTAAAAGCATTGGCTGTTCAGTGGCCGATCTTCTTCACACCTTACTAATATATTTTACGGGGAGGAATTTCTGTAAAATAAAGTGAAAAGGCGGCATTAGGATTTTTTTTCCTAAGACGCTAGGCACTTGGCCCGTGATTGTTTATCACATTACTTCAGGCTAGACCTAGGGGTTACGGCATTATCACACTCCATTGGTGATTTGGCGGGATTTGAACCCGAAGTCCCGTGCTCAAACCACTAGACCAGCTCGCTCCCCGGGTGGCATAAGGATAGCTATAAGATAAATATATGAACATGAATGAACGCAAAAGACGGGTTGTCTAAGGTTTAACTAAAAATCGGTCGTGTTATAGGTTAGTTCATGCTAACTAAACTTCAAATAAGAATATTTCATGCCTGAAAAGCTGAAAATCGATATCAAATTAATCCAGAATTTTCTCGCATTTAAAATGACTGTTTAATAACTTTGCCGAAGATTTTTTTTTTTTTTTTGCCGTAAAACGTATTTTTCTAGAAAAAGTGAATGCAATACAAATGGTTATTTAGTTTGATTGATATAGGCAACAACATTGTTGGATTTTGAAATTCTGAATCCAAATGTATAGTTTCAAATTCGGCGTTTTCACGCTCACATGATCTACAAATAAGAAATAAATAAACATATTTTGTATATTCTATAATTAACAATGTAAAATTACGATGGAATAATAATAGATGTAATACACCCACAATACGCACAGAAAAATATCAAACATTACAAATAACACAAAAGAAAGAATCGTGTTTTCGTTCAAGCTTAAAGATTTTCAATTTTCTTCTCGGACAGAATGCCACCTAATTATTTTTTTCACGGTTGACGAATACATTTTCCTCAAGGAAAAGAGACTCGTTCTGATATAGCAGGATGTTGAATGTTGAGGTGGGCGAAAAAACGACACCAGCTCCTCACAGGACCAGGAAAAAACCTTCAGATGTCTACCTGAACATGAATTTGTGACCTGAAAGGTCGCCTTCGTTACGCAACTCCACGCTAAAAAGATTATAAAACAATGGACCACTTTGCTAAAAAACAAAAACAGGGATAGGGTAGGAAAAGTTAAGCATAATTAAATGAATTTATCTTCCTAGTAGATCAGATGAAGACACTAACAATGGTTTCTATCAAATACTGATGTTTAGCACCTTACTTCCAACTATAACAATAATTTGTCTCCAGTTGGCCTAGATGATAAATCAATCAATTAGGAAATATATTTATTTGATAAACTATAGCAACTTTTATGTCACATCAACTTTTACAGGGACAAATTCCAACAGAGAAAATATAAATTTAACAATACCACCATCTGTAAATGGTCAATCTTACCTTTTTTTAAACGAAAATTTGGCTACAGCTGATCCACAGATGGGATGCCTACATCAGTATCAACAAGTAAGTAGCAGAAATATATACAGTATATTTCTTAAATTTTTATTATTATCTATCTATACACTTAATACAATAAAGATTTTCCCTGTAACATCTATTTTCCAGCCGTTACTCAACCGATCTTTAAGATTGGCGTGTCATTTTAAAGTGTATATTCTAGCGCACCTGCGAATGACTCCAGGCTTCACCCCCCTCACGTTTAATTTATTTCTTGAGTCAGTTTTAAACGGGTCCCCTCGTTCCTTATTACAGTATTTTTGAACTATAAACATAAACTAAGAACTGATTTATTTGCAAACCACCTATTCTTGTCTTGATCTCAAGGTGGATTCGAATAAGATGAGATCTACGAGCAGTATCAATAATAAGTCAACTATCAAACTTATCTTGCCTGTTTACTAAAGACCGATGGAAGTAAGTATTACTACACACACAGGTGAGCATTTGATTAGATAGTAATCTAGTTTGATAACGAATCTGTCCCCTAATCTAAGCTTTAAATAGGCCTACATGATTAATCATAGTTTATGTTGACTAATCGTTCTCTATGGATCTAATAATTTTCCATTGTGCGCTTTACCTTCAGGTAAAAGTACCAGCGGAAAGTAATTGTTCTCATACTGTATTATTTGGTTAATATAATTTTAAAGTGTGCGAAACAACAAGAAGTGAATAGTTATCAAACGGTAATATACAGGGTGTCTCACCTAAAGCATTGACTATTGGAAGTTGTATCACCAGTCAAAGCCTAAAGTTAACAAATAGCTAGCTTTTTTACTATGAAAAGGGCAGTAAGCTTCTTATGGGGCACTACTATTTATTTTTAAGATGTTTTTGGGGTGTTTTCGAATTTTGCAGCTACAGGGTGCAGAATGTACATTGCAACCCATTGTTTAGATGTTACACGCTCTTCCTAAGGTTTAGATAAGAAATGTCAAGAATAAAAACGTTGTTATGTCGCATTTACATTCTAAAACAATGACAATAAATACAATAAAATACAGGACGTTTCATAAGAAATCATAACATGTTCAGTCATATTGGAAATGGCGGTCATATTTTTAAAACTCGAAACCATTCCAAAAACATCTAAAAAATAAAGGGGAGGCCCCATAATAAGTAAACTGTTCTCATAATACAAAAGTTAGCTATTGATTAACTTAAGGTTTGTACATCGGCCAGAAATATACGTTGGAATTTTCTTTATCTGTCCCATAAGTAGCCTATGAATATTCTATAAAGGAGT